ATTAGGCAGCATTTTTTATTTTTCTACATTTGTACCCTTTTTGGGATTTTCATGTTTTTATTAACTGATTATGAATTCTTATAATAAATAAATGCATTACTGCGTCTTTAAAAAAAAAGCTAATCCAAAATCAATAAATGTTAGCTCATTGGATTTGTCTAGTCGCAGGGAATCGAATGGTAGTTATTTCATACGAATCAGTGCGATATTGATCGAGATCGTACATTTGTTGTTTTTTTTGTTTTTTCTGAATATAAAAAATCATGTGATATGACGTAATTTCGACCATTTTGACTTTTCATTTCGACTTTTGGGTTTTCATTTCAACTTCATGTATAATTTACTCTATTTTGAATATAGGGAAATAATTTTGCCTTTGTTTAGATCTTTAGAATATTGATAAAATAATTTACTGCTGTGACTTCTTCTTTAGGTAATTGTTAAATTAAAGAAATTAAATTAATTTGTTCTTTGTTTGTTTGTTCTGTTTGTTTTCAGATTTAAAGTATAGTCAAGTTTTTTCTCATCAATCTCATTTATAATCTCATAAATTTTTATTTTTTTATCATTCTCTTTCACTTTTTTGCTTTTATATCATGAGCTTTTTTAATTGACAGACATGGTTTATTAAAGGCATTTTCCTAGTAAAAAATCCTAAATTTTTAAAGTTTAGCAGATGTTGGTTTAAATCAACATACTAACAAATTAAATCTGTAAAAAATATATTATAACATATTAAATAATATGATAACTTGATTACTTTAAACACCAAAGAATCTTTTTAATCAGAGGGCTATGTAGCTTTATTTTATTATTTTTGAAGCGTAAATGGTATTTTTTGAAAGGATAACTAACTGTTATATGAAAGAGACAATAATTTAGATTTTTTTGTAAAATTTTAAGTGAAAATAATGGGAAAGAGTTTAATGTCCATAAAGTATGATTAAGTGAAATCTTCATATAAATATAGCATAATTTATAGTATAAAATAGTTTAATATGAAAAAATTCAATGGTAAAATTTACTATAGTTTTGTCGATTTGTATTAACAGTACATATCAACTTTTCATGGATAATATTACTATACATGCAGATTCTAGTTATACATCATAATTGTATCCTATGAAGATTATGTTATAATATATTAAAGCTTGTTATCATTAAATTAATCACAAGATTCAAAATATTTACTTTGTTAACAGAATGAAACACTTGCTACTTAAAATTGGTTATTAAAAGGTTCAATGATTTATTTCCAATAAAGCATTTAACTGGTTATGTGGTGCTACTATAGAACTCATTTTGCGAGACCTTTCTTCTCATATTGTGCAAATGGATGGAAGATGGACTTCTGATACCTTTGAAGTATATATTCATTGACATCCATTAGCCTATCTAGCTTTTACATACACACACACATACTTATTGAGCAGTCCATGCAGGTTTCTATTAGATCTTGCCTAACAAAAGAACTAAAAAGAAAGGAATTGTTGTAATTTGAAAGTATATGCAAAAGTATTAAAGCAGAAGAATTCTTTCAAAGCAAAGGCAACATCAATAAGAAAAAATTATAATAATTTGTTATTTTGCATAACTATTGCAATCAAATATGAAATAAATAAAATAAATAAAATAATGTATGTGAATCTTTAACACGAACTTTGTTTAGCAGTTTCGCGTTAATTTACCTTTATAAATATACCTTTATTTATTTTTATTTTACTTATATAATAGTATATGCCATATCAAAATATATGCATGGTCATAATGCTTGACCAATAATTTGTTTGTTCATATGCCAGCAGGGCATGAACCACTCCTAAATATGTCCTCTTGATTAATGCTGAATTATCACTCAATACTTTTATGCTAGCAGCCAAGTTCAACTAAAAAAATAAAATAAATAAATAATAAATCGCATGTGATAATTATTTTGAACAATAGCGATAAATCATGATGTTTAATAGGCGATCACCCACCTGGTTCTGACTCTGATTCATTACTGGCAAAGTTATCAAAATGACACTTCTGACCATTCAAACCTAACTGCCAAGTAGAAATGATATGTAAATATAGCCATTTTCTGACATTAGAGATCAATTAACCTGCAATTAAATTTATGAGAATGAAAAAATGGCTTCATATATTGCTTTTGTTATCAATAGGATTGAATTAATTTTCACTTGTCTTAGAATCATTTTATTGATAATTTTAAAATAGATTGATGTTTTCGCGTCGCCTAAATTTTATTACATAATAAATCATTGTGATCATTTTTAACAAATAAATTATTTATTTAAATTACCTCCTTACAAAATTAAGAGGTAATCTTGAAAACATTGATCCAATTTGGGTACGTAAATTCTTAATCTTATTTTGTGATTTATATTACAAATAGCTTATGTCATTCTTTACTACAGTATGGGAAACTGAGACTTATTAAAAAGTTCAGTCTGCAATTTTTCTTATATATAACTTTATTTTTCTTTTACTTCCCTTAACCGTCTTGGTTACAAAAATTAAATTTTTAAATTCTTCTAAATTTTTTCACAAAATAAGTAAGCTATTATATTTTCCTTATTTGTTCTATTTATGTTGAGTTTTACTTTTTTATAAACTTCTTTTTGATTATTTAGTTAACGACATTTGTTAATTACTACAATGAGTAGCGAGCAATCCAAGGAAAAACAAAATTAAGCAATCGTAAACGTAGGAATTAGTACTAGTTGTTTAGCACTTAGTGCTTTATGTTCTCCTACAGGAGTAGTAGCATCTGTTACCTGCATTGGAACTGATATAGTAATGAGAGTATTTGGTCAAATGACAGATGATGAAGAGTTAGAAAAAGCAGAAGAAGTTCTCAAAGTTGGGGGAGCAATAGAAAGGATTGGATAAGGGTAGCTAGAGTAACCAAAGGAAAAAACCATGCTTGTTTCTTTTGTGAAGTTATTAATGATCTCTTAACTTAACAAGGATTTAGTTAATTAAATAATAATCCTGATCAAGTTTTCTATTCACAAATCTGTAATCAAATAATTGCCCATAAAATTTATTCGTTGTGTTGTTATTGGTGTGTCTTTAATTCAAAGTATAATATATTTTTTTTATTTGTTTATTGGATTTTTGATTTAGCTAATTTAGGTTGAAATTATAATATTAAACCACTTTCAAAAATATGTAACTTTCTCGCGTAGAAAAATTAACATTCAAGTAATCTGTGAAAAAAGGTTTTATAATTCTAAAATGATAAAGCATATGATTGACCTAATAATTATCACCATTACTTAGTATACTATGATAAATAGCTGACAAATTAAATATTTGTAAGATTATTCATAGATAATTTTAGCATTTTAGCTAGAATCTTTCTAATATAACGGGTGAATAACATCACCTAATCATGTGATATTATAATAAACCTACTTACCTCTAACGTACGTCACAAGTTGAGGGTTGCGCTTGTGACACATAACGAGGTTTTCATACCCTAAAGAAAAACTAAGTTCCCAAATTAAAAAGTAAAAATGAAACTTGGTGGGTGTGATGAGTGTAACTTATTATTATATAGTTACATGGCCTGAGCTTTTTAATATAATATCAATTGTAACTGCAAGTAATTTTCTTCATATGAAATTGATTTCAAAAATTAGAAATCAATTTAATTGATTAATCAAAAAATATATTTGAATCATAAAATCAAACCTCGAGAAGTTTTAATTAAAATGAATTCTACTTTTTTTACATTAATTCTAAACCCTAATTATGGTCATGCTTAAGATTACGAATAATGAGTTTCAATGTAGGATATTAAATTGCTTCAATAAACATAGTACTAGATTAATAAGTAATCAAAGCTTGTTTAGCATCTTTTATTATTGTGCTTAAATTTTTAAAATCTATACTTCGCCATTGTTAAATATAACCTAGTAAGTTGCAGGATCTCATCTTTGTAAAGTTACAAACGAAACTTCTAAGATTAAAATATTCAGAGATTGAGGTAATTTGTAATTCTTTGAATATCATTATTCTCATGGAATTCTCTGTTTTGAATATTTTTCTTATATGGCAAAGGCCTATATGAGCTTGAGACTAACAGCTGAAAGTGACCATAGCTTATACTTATATGGCTCTTGAAATTTGAAATACTTGTAGAAATAATTAATAAATATATTTATCAATATTAATTTGGATAGAACTTCATTATTATTTCGCAAATAAAGAACGAAACAAGTACTATAAATTTAACTGCATTATCTGTATCGAAAATTTTTTAAAAAAATGAATATAAAAATAAAGTCTTATAGTAAGCTTAAAAAAGAAAGATAACAAAAATAAATATAAAGCGACAAAATAAATCATTGATTAGAAAATAAAACGAAGTTAAGATTGATGAAACAGCTTTAAACCTCTTTCTATATCATTGCAGTCATTTAATCAATGAAATATTGTAATTCATGATTAAATAAATAATACTATAAACATTAATAAGCTAATTAGTGAATAAGTCGCCGCAACAACCTAAACTAGAGAAAAACTAAATACAAAGCATGGCATCAAAATAATCTGACAATAACCAACTGTAAGTAGTATTTATTTGCTATAGTTACAATACTGTAGTTAAGTATTGGATTATGTAAGATCTTACATATGATCTGCAATGTTACTTTAATGGCTATTAAAATTTCGCTTGGCATCGCATATTCTTGATCTGATCTGACAATAATTAACTTTTGAGTGATCATGTCGATGTTTAATGAAACATGCAAAAAGCTTTACTCGGGACTTAATATTCATTTCATATCTACGTATATATGTTATTGTGTGCAGGCCAAATTTTTAGCGTATGACAATTAGCCTCGTTGAAATTAGTTTTGCAGATCGATCGATTTTTATAATTAGGACATTATTCATCATCTGTGCTATAATCGGTTACATTTTATTTGGTCGATCTCAAGTTTTCGAATGTGGGAAATTGATAAAAATGGTAAACACGATTGTTGGTTATAGTCACAAAAAGTAATGCGACACGATTACTATACGTAATAATAAATATATTCTTATCATTAGAAAACTAAAAGGGAAATCTATTCTATAACCAAATTTTCGTTAGAATATTAAAGGGAAATCTAATATATATACAACTTTACAAAATATTTAAAATCATTTTCAAAATGACGACTTCAGCAGTTGCCAAAGGAAGAGCGTTGGAACGAACCCTTACAAAATTTAAAACTTTTTAAAATCTTTTCAAAATAACTTCTTCAGCAGTTGTCAAAGGAAGAACCCTCGTCGAAGAATTGATAAATGAAGGCTATGAACCAGAGTGTGAGTATCTCTCGCTAAGTTATTTGAGTCGTGAAGTACACTTGATGTGGTGTTCACAGTTTCGGCTGTAAGCGTTCAAATATCGGGTATGAAACACGAATAGAAAGTACAAACATACGCGACTTTGAACGCGACACCCACCTGATTTTTGATTATTATGACACATATGCTTAATACATTTATATTTTTATTCATTATTTTTAATACAATACAGAGGTCCTAAAGACGGGGGAATCGATATCAAGGTGGAAGTAGATGGGATCGATTTCGTAATACAAAGCAAAAATTGGAAGCAAAAATTATGTATGTTTTAATCGACTATGTTTATCTAGTTAGAGTTTGAATTACTCAATGTTGTATGATTATAGATCCAGCGATTGTTCGCGAAATGGATGGGGTGCTCACTAGGCAAAAAAAGGGCACGGTCGGAGTAATAGAGGCCCCCAACGTGAATAGATTTACGAGAGGAATGGAGGAGACGGCGAATACTTCGATATTTAAGATAATTTTAACTGACATTGGAAATTTCATTAATAGACTTAAAGAAGTAGCCGCTGGTTGGCGAAAAGAACATTATTTATTTATTTTTAAAATTTTTTTATGTTTAATATTTATTTTACTTGCAATTATTTATATGTATTTTTATGTATTGTAATAATAGGCTTAGTTTTTTTTAATAAAGTGACCCTTGGGTCAATGATATATAATCAATCGCATTTACTTTACATATATTGAGAGTTATAATATCGGTTGTAAAACCATGATTTTGTTTTTTCCAGCATTATACTGGTAAATATGTTTTTATAATTAAATTTTTCAATAATTAAAATCGTTTATATGATTTTAGAATGCTGGGATCTTGAACAAGATCAAACTTGCAGTATGAACAAAGTAGTTGATTAATTAAATGCAATAATTAAAAGAATAAATATAATAGAAATGAAAAATCAAACCTTCAAATACGAACAACCTCATTATTCTAGTATTAACAATTCATTAAATAGGGAAACATTTCAAATTTTTAATTTTAATTAGATAAGTGTAATAGAAGAATTAGAGTCGAAAAATGAAACATCGGTCATTATTTACGATTATATTATTGTTAGTTTAAAAATTACAGAGCTTAATAAGAATGACATACAAAACACATTAGGAGGATTACAAAGATATCGAAAAAGATTACGAAGCCTAGACTGTAATAATAGCTTACCAACAATACCTGATTCCTTGACGATACTTTCTTGCTTCAATACTCAAATTACTAGAATGATCTTCATTTTTTACATATTTATTTCAAAGAACAATTTGTCTAGTAGACAAAATGAACATTATACCATATTGTGATTTTTAGTGAATGACAATTTGTCCTTTGTCAAGTAGTAAATTTTGCCGTCCAAATTTTAACATTAAGGTAATTATGCATTCGAATTAAAATATTTCAATATTTAATAAAGCTATCGCTATGAAGTGAAAATCACACTTCTTGGGTGAAAGGTAGGTTAATTTCTTAAATTTTATCGCATCCGCCGTTAATCAAATAAATTTCTTTACTCGGTTATTTTTAAAAAATTTGTAAATTTAATTTAATTTGATTAACTCATTATTTGTCATAAAAGGTTCAAAAGATAATGAGAAAATAGTAAAATTATTGCTTGCGAGAGTCAAAATTTTGATGTTTGACCGGCAATATTTAAATAGTATGCAAATAAAATAAAAATAAAGAACAAGTTGTCAAATTATAAGTTTTAGGATTTTTTTATTTTAATAGAAATATATCTATAAATTTTTTTTCTCTTTATTGAAGAATTCATTCACATTGTTATAAAAATTGATTATATCTGACAAAATTCACCAATGAAAAGCATTTTTAATAGTACAGTACGATATAATTGTCCTGTAGCGCTTTTAGATCTTCTTTTTATTTATTTTATATACAACTTTTGTAAAATTTTATTTCATCAATTAATTTGCTGGAAAAAACAAAAATCACGTTTTAAGACCGATATTATCTATGATTCTCAAATATATACAAAGTAAATGTGATTGATTATATGGGAGGTGTGCTATTAAACTCATGTTCGGATCATATGATTTATTATGTCTCATAACCTAATTTTAATAGCACATGACCCATATATTATCGACCTGACCCGCCAGAGGTCACTTTATTAAAAAAAACTAAGCCTATTATTATAATACATAAAAAAATATATAAATTATTGCAAGTAAAAGTAAAATAAAAATTAAACATAAAAAAATTTTAAAAATAAATAAATAATCTTCTTTTCGCCAACCAGTGGCTACTTCTTTAAGTCTATTAATGAAATTTCTGGTTTCAGTTAAAATTATCTTAAATATCGAAGTATAAGCCGTCTCCTCGTAAATCTATTCACGTTGGGGGCCACTATTACTCTGACCATGCCTTTTTTTTGCCTTGTAAGCACCCCATCTATTTCGCGAACAATCGCTGGATCTATAATCATACAACATTGAGTAATTCAAACTCTAACTAGATAAACATAGTCAATTAAAACATACATAATTTTCGCTTCCAATTTTTGCTTTGTATT